GAGAGAGAGAGAGAGGGAGAGAGTGAGAGAGAGAGTACAAGAAGAAGAAGAAAAATCGATACCGGGAAGAAGAAGAAGAAAAAATGGAGTCTTATTTATTTTAGGTTTCATGGACATAGAGGGGTATCTTAGTCTTTTCGCATACATTTTTTGGGACAAAATGGTAAATCTTTGGATGGGATAGAAAAATCCCAGGGTGAGGCGGGGATTAATTAATCGGCCAGTAGTGGATATACATGTGGGGCCCGCAGCCACATGTGTGCCAGCTCACGCAAATCTCATCCCAATCCTTAAAAGGAAACAACGGATAATGCGGAACAATTTTAGTTATCCTGTCCCATCCTCCAAAGTAAATGAGCCCTAATTGTATAAAATGTTAAGGATAACGTAATTTTTATAATTTTAAAGGATCATGATTAACTAATTAACACAAAAAAGTATTAAAATTATTACTATAACAATTATTTATGCTATTAAAGAGTTTTAGCATATTATTTAATAAATAACAATTACTTGATAAGATAAAGAAAAGTATTATTTGCTTTAATAATAATAAATTTAAAAAATCTGCAATACAATTTTTTATATTATGAAACTTCTATGTATCAGTTAGTATAAAATATAATTAGTAAATTTTAATAGTAATTATTATAATAAAATAATTATAAATATTATTTTTACATATGTTAGAATATCACTTGTGAGTTATCCCACATCGTTCATACATTGAAAATAGATTCACCTTATAAGTCTAATGGACTACTCCTTCACCAATTGGTTTTGGGATGGAACCCCACTTGGGCTTCATATGAGCTTTCTTCGCTTTTGGTGCGCTTGGGACCGCATCCATTTTCCCCTAGTTTCTTTTATGGTATCAGAGCCGGTTCTATGTGGAACCGTATGATGACGTACCCGTTTACCCACCATGTTTCTAGTAGGGCTTGTGCCCACGTACCCGTTTATGAGAGCCTGTAGGGCTTGGGCCCACATACCCGTTTATGGGAGCCTTTCGAAGGACTCAAAGTGAGGGAACGTGTTTAGAATATCACTTGTGAGTTGTCCCACATCGTTCATACATTGAAAATAGACCCACCTTATAAGTCTAATGGACTACTCCTTCCACCAATTGATTTTGGGATGGAACCCTACTTGGACTTCATATGAGTTTTCCTCGCTTTTGGTGCGCTTCATGATAGTGGGAGCGTACCCATTTTCCCTCAGTTTCTTTCAACTTAATTAATAAAATAATACGATTTATTATCATATTAACAAAAAAAATTCAAAAAAAAAAAAACTAATCTAAGAGGCAAGCAAAAGTGATAGAAACTCCATCTAAGAGACGAACACCCGCGAAATAAAACTCCACACTAACTCCATAAAGGAGACTAAATTAGACTAACACTGGACTAAACAAGAAAAAAAGACGCACACTTAATAAACAAGTAAAATAAGACCTTTTCTAACTCCAGCGGGAAAACTGAACGACTAATCAAACCGAAAACCGAATCACACCCCACAACAAAAAACTCAATCAAGCAATAAACCTAGAATTTAGGAGAGAGAAAACGTTTTCTCATTGCTGTTTTTATATTGTGTAATCCATAATTTTTTTTTCCTACAATTATAAATTTAGAAAATGTTACGGTCTCGTCACGAAACAACTCCGCCGAAGTTTGTAACCGTTAGATCAATTATTCCCGACAATTACATAATGATCTAAGGATCACAAAACTTGATGAAATAGTTCCGTCACAAGACCGTATCATCTCTATAAATTTAGCCTCTCCATGACCGGGTGCCTCAAATCTTAAGGCGGTTATATTAAGCTAACATCAATAAAGTATACATTTATCACTAGAATAATATTACAATCTTGAAATGACGAATTTCTCCTCCAAAAGGTCGGTTAAATACGGAAACCCCACAAAAGACACTACGAGGGCACAACCGTCATTTGGACGAAACATATCGCCTCACCCCCATTGGTCAGAAATTCCTGGTCCATTCCACAATTTCCCTTTCACTTATATATATACACACAAGGAAACATATACACACAACCAAAAAATAAAAAATAAAATAAAATAAAATAAATAAAAATAGAGAAATACCTCGAAGATGAATTCCGGCCTGACGGAGCTAGAAATGGGCGCCGTTTTGGAGCTGATCCAGCTCAGCGGCGGCGGCGGCGGCTTCCCCGTCCTGTGGGTCGATTACCCGGCGGAAAAGGATGGGTCGCGGGACAAGCGATCGGAGGAAGAAAAGAGCGCCGGCGAGTCTCTTTCGTCGTCGTCGGCTAGCTCAATCGAGCCGGCAATCAGCGCCTCCACCGAATCTCTTCCCCGGAGGAGAAAGCGGCTCCGATCGCTCGCCGATATCTACCTTAGGACTCGACCTTTGGAGAACAATCGCGGCAATAAGAAGAGGGCAAGGTTTTGAATTACCTTTTTTTTTTTATATATATATATTGGGAGGGAAATAACTTTCGATTTGTAGAATGTTTCTCAACCATGTAAATTGTAATAATTTATAAAAACTTCATTTTGGTGCTTTGAGTAGTCTTACATATGTGATATAAAGGTTTTGGTTTTCTTGGGTGATATGAATATATGCAATAAAATTATGCTAATTAACTTAACGGGAGATTCTACTGTCTCGCTACGGAACCATCCTGTCAGGGTTTGTAACTGTTAGATCAACTATTCATGACGGTTATACGATAATCTATGGTTCCGTAGCCGGACTGCAACATTTTCCTTAAGTGTAATAATAATAATAATAATTTAAAAAAAAAAAACTGCATTCTCTACTTCTTTTACTTGCCTTGTTCTGATTGCTGGATGATTTTTCGTTTCTAATTGTGCAATTGTTCGTTCCTAATTGTTGAGTATTGTTCGTTCAATTCATGTACATATATAATGTATGTATATATGTGTACGTAAGTAGTGATAAAAGATAATCAAAGTACATATGCATAGATATATTAATGATAGAACATATATAACTACAATGTACACATAATGACATAAGTATTACAATTAGTTAATCAACTATCTAATGATGACAAATAACTATATTGTATGCATGATTTTTTGCCCATTTTTACTATATTCTCCAATGCGTTTCTTTTGCCCATTTTTACTAATTGTACTGCATGACTTTAAGTAATATTGAGTCCTCTTATTTTATATTTCTATAATATTATACAAGTTGTTATTTTTATTTTCGTCGGGTCTTATTATTTTTTATTTCATTGATCGATTATTATACTTAATTTTGAGTATATTAATCTCCAATCCTACTTTAAGCGCGCGTGTATATGTATAGAAATGCTCCCCTACCCACGGTGGGCACATGTTAATATGCCCACCGTGTAGGTGGCATGCACTCATTGGTGATGTTAATATATTTAAAAGATACATCACCAATGAGTGCATGCCACCTACTCGGTGGGCATATTAACATGTGCCTACCGTGGGTAGGTGAACATTTCTCTGTATATGTATACTGTAGCCATTAGATCTGGTGATCCAACGGCTAAAAAAAAGCAACATTACAACTTCATTACAAATAATTTACGGCTAAAAAAAAGCAACATTATAACTTCATTACACATAATTTGGACATTTCATCAAGCGCTCACATCAGTGGGCCCCACCCCACATCCCATCCCAAGTGTCTCACGGTCTAGCCTTGACTCTCTCTCTCTCTCTCTCTCT